GTGTGTGTGTGTGTGTGTGTGTGTGTGTGTGTGTGTGAGAGAGAGAGAGAGAGAGAGAGAGAGAGAGAGAGAGAGAGAGAGAGAGAGAGATGGGTGGCTGAGGGAAGAGAGATGTTGTGACAACTACCTCACCCTTTCTTCGAATTCAGAAACCCCGAAACGACCCCGTCTTGCTTCATTCGAGCTCACGAAACGCAGCCCCTACGACAAAATGCAACCGGGTATAAACGCAGCCCCTCCGAATTCAGAAACCCCGAAACGACCCCGTCTTGCTTTATTCGAGTGCACGACGAAACGACAAAATGCAACCGGGTATAAACGCAGCCCCTACGGCTGCGAACTTCCTCTGATGTTGTTTTCTATAGATATGTATCTATATTCAAAAGTGCGATCACACTCACACACCCTGCGCAACATTTCACCATCGTTTGACCAGCGCTATACGTGTGGTGCATCCTTTATTCGTATGGTCCATCGTCGTGTTACACGTGTGAGTTCGTGCCATCGTGCATGTAATGTGGTGCTTTAGGAGAGGCGGCAGCCTGGCTTGCGACTTAGAGTCGCCTCATTGGAGGAATTACACTGCCGACTACGAGGGGTGCGAGCGTTCTGCAGTTGCATTGGACTGTCGGACATGGCAGCGGAAAAGCAGGTCCTTGTGCGTACCTTTCTCGTTCTCTCCTTCGTTTCCGTGGCGTCGATTTCTGTCATCTACTTCTTGTCTCTACGCCCAGTGGACAGTAATGCTGCTGCTGCCCCTTCTCCTCCAGAGTCTGTCTGTTGGAATGGCCCTGCTCTCTTTGAGTCGCACCCAGCGGTTCGACAATCAACGCCAGCGGAACAGCAGCAGCAGCAGGAGGAGGACATCTCTCTGCCGACCCACGATTCTTCCTCTCCTGCCTCCTCTCCTTCGCTTGATGATGTGCCACATGGCAGAGCCACCGGCGCTCTAGTCCAGATAGTAGGGGTGGGATGTCGGTCGTGTTATGTGGGATCCACATGCAGCTTCGACGTAAGACTGTCCTCAGGGGCATATTGGCAAGACAGCGAGTTGACAAGGAGGAGAGAACTGATGGTGAAGATCGATGGCCCTTCGCTCTTGGAAGGGGCGGCTCTTCCGGTTATCTCCTCGGTCAGTGGATTACAATGGTCTGTTTCTTACACGCCTTTCGATGCCGGCGTCTATGTCGTCACTGTCTACGCTGAATGTGCCATCACGTCACAAGGAGAAAGGAACGGCTCTCTCTTCTTCTCCGATCCGATCGAAAAGATGCACAACGAGTCTACGAACACCATAGCCGAATTCCGGCTGACTGTGTACGAGGAGCCCTCTCGGGAAGGGGGGGGGGCGTTGTGTCCCTGCGACGGAGGGATCTATGGTCGCTGGCTGCCCGCCAGTCCCCCAAACAAGGACAATGATCATCACGTAAGCAAGAACAATGACAATGACAACGACAACGACAACGACAACGGCGATGCTCACAATGACGTCAACGTCAACGACGACGACGACGACGGGACGAGTGGTGGCTCGACGAACGGACACGTGGCAAGCTTTCGCTGGCAGTTCTTCGACTGCGCGAAGCAGGTAGATGCTCTCGAGTTCGTGGCAGCGATGGCGTCGAAAGGCATCGGCGAGATATCGTTCGTCGGGGACTCGCATAACCGCCGGCTATACCACCACGTATGTTTCTTGTTGACGGGCCACGTTAATTCTTCGGAGCGGGTTGCTCAGATTGATCTGTCCCGCCACGTGTCCTTGGTGGGAGAAGGAGGTAGGAGGTCCAACCTGACTCTGCGCTTCCTCTTTGTCCCGGGCATTTGGGACGGAAGCGGTGCGTACGGCTGTCCTCTCGACAGTTTCGGGCGAAGGAAGGAGCCCCCCAATCTCCCATCGACAGGGCTGTTCGTCTTCAACGCCGCTCATTGGGAGTACGAGCTGTGCCTGGAACCGGAAATGGCTTATGCGAGGTACCTGCCCACATACCTGGAATGGGGGAGGAGGCTGGCAAAGCAAGAAGGAGCGAGGTTGGTGTGGAGAAGCACGACGCCCTTCAATGTGAGGACATGGGGGTGTAGTTGGGGGATATTTCCGCGTCAAAGGAATTACACGGCGTGGAGGAGACGGGAAAATGGACAGGGGGGGACGTATCTGCCGCCCTTGGGACGAACGAACGCAGGATTTAGATTAGCTAACGAATTTGCGAAGCGCGCCGCTGATGTGGCCGGCTTTCAGTATTACGACAGCTGGCAGGTGGAAGCTCCCTTTTACTTCGACTCATCTTCCAAGGACTGTCATTACTCGCAGGTCACCTCAGACGGACGGATGCGGGGCATAGTGGGAGAGGCAGTTGCGCGGGATTTCATGAGTTGGGCGGCAACGCGTATGCGATGATGATCTGTTGTGTGTGTGTGTGTGTGTGTGTGTGTGTGTGTGTGTGTGTTGGGGGGGAGGGGGGACGAAGGAAAGACGGAGAAGGGGGACGGGGAGGGGCAGGGGTGAGCGGGGCGGAGAACGGTGCAACTAAAGAAGACAGAAAAAAAAAGAAAAAAAAAGATAATGCCAGCTGGCTGAAATGAAGTCTTTCACTTGCGGCGTAAAGCTTCCCCTATGGCTTATTTTCCCGTTGCTATTGGTGGGATACAGAGAAAGAGAAGATTAGCAGCATGGCCCTTGCGCTTTTAAGGATGACACGCATATAAATCGAGAAATGGGAGAAAAATAAAAAGGGGGAACTACTCGGGAGTCACAAAAATGACTTATAGTTCCACTACGGGGGCCAAGATACAGTTCCGAATTGCAGTTCGGGCGATGTATACAACCCAGATTTCTGGCCAGGTGTAGGGTGCAATTACTCCTATCGACGGCGCCGCAGATCGGATTCCACAAAAAGGAGAAAAGTTGTGCTCCACTGCAACGACCCCAAATGCACTTACACATACACAAACACAATTGCAGTTCGATTTACAGTTCGGCCAATGTATACATTCCAGTGCAATGGCAATCTGTATCTTGGCCCAATTCGTTTTAAATTTGTGACTCTACTTAAGTTACCCCTATTTTTTCAGAGTTATATCTTGTGTTTGTTTGTTTGTGTGTGTGTGTGTGTGTGTGTGTGTGTGTG